GTCTGTCCCTTGATGAACTGTGTGTCTGTGTTAATCGCCATGTACTACAAATAGAAGTGGCTCTGACAAGGGCTGAAAAATGCATTAATCTATGGGAACAAGATGGTCACCTAGGTTGAAATCTAAAATAAGCAAAATATTATATAAAACTATCATACATCTAACTACTAGATGAACAGATTGTGCATTCAGTTAGAGTGAATTAAGAATTAATTAAAATAACAGCTTTCAAACAACATTGGTGTTATTTGTTGCCTGTCTCCTCCTGCTGTATTGGCTTGTTGGAGACCTCATCCTGGTTTTTTGTTTGTTTGTTTGTTTCCTACTTCACATAACTTGGTTCCTGCTGAGCCCTCTCCAGATCTCCACCTTTGGTGACTTTATACTGTCCTGCTATGTTTGGTTCCTCCATATACTGTAATCACATCTGAAGATTTGAAGCCAGCCACTCCAGATGAGAAAGATTAAAGGCATACATGTTTTTTTTATATTTATTTAATATTATACACAACAAAAATATATGCACCTAAAAGAGCTGGAGATAAAAGACACAAAGGGACCCAAGCCAGGGGCTGTGTTCACTAAGGAAAGGGTCCCGCACACTTTGCTTATCCACAAAGAGAAACAGAGAGGGATAATATAAAAGGGTGAGAGCCTTGCTGTCAAGGTAAAGCAAATTGAGATTTATCTAACTCGAATCTCCAAGGTTCTATGAACATGCAAGATAAATTCTTGATGAATTGGGGAGCTGGCAAACTATGCTGGCACAAAACAAGTCAGGATCTGTAACACTGAGATGTGGGGTCCATTCACGGGGATCCTCTAGTCTCCCTTATAACAGAAGGGTTTCCACTTCAGCGAGAACAAAGTGAAGACGCTTTCAAAAAGCAAATAAATGATGCACATTTTATTAGTAGTAATAATATAAATGGTTGCCAAGTGCTTGGCACCAAACAGAATGGTTGCACACTTTGTTATTTAATTCTCATAGAACCCTTCAATGGGTATTATCATTTGTAATTTGTACATGAGAACACTGAAAGTCAGAGAAAATAATTTGTATATGGTCCCAAGTTTCATAAGAAATAAGGCACAGGGAATATAAATTTATTTTCATATTTTCACCACAACATTTACATACTGAAAGTTTCTTTTTTTTTTAAAGAAACATTTCCCAATTCTTTTTATGAGTCCACTATTACCCTATTACACTATTATACAAAGTTCCAACCAAAAAATTATAGAGCAATATCCCTTATGAACATAGATGCAAAATTCTTCCTTCCTTTCATTCCTTCCTTCCTTTCATTCCTTCCTTGCTTTAATTCCTTCCTTCCTTCCTTTCTTCTTTCTTTCTTTCTTTCTTTCTTCCTTCCTTCCTTCCTTCCTTCCTTTCTTTCTTTCTTTCTTTCTTTTTTTTTTATTAATATTTTTTTTATTTTCCTTTTTAAATTTAGATAAGAAACAAGGTTGCTTCACAAGTCAGTACGAGGTCCCTCTCCCTTTCCCTCCCCTCCTCCCGTGCCCTCCCCCCCATCCCCCCCCCGTTATCCCCTCATTCCCCTAGGGAGGGTGAGGCCCTCCATACATACTGAAAGTTTCTTATGGTGTTGTTTTACATAGTATTACAGACAATACTGAAAATAAAAAGACTAGAAATTCAAACATTAGACTTTTTAATCCGTATGTGCAATTATTCATGATTAAAAAGAAGCTTACTGATATTTTTAAAAAATAATTAAACAGACGATATGACAACAGCCCATACAAATACTTGCAATTAATAAACTACATGTTTTTATTTATTTGTATGAGTGCTTTGCTTGTATGAGTGTCTATGCAACACACGTGTGTTTGGTCCCTGAGGTCACAAATGGGCTTCAGATGCCCTAGAACTGAAATAATGGACAGCTGTGAGCCACCACGTCAATGAGGGCAATTGAGTCTGGGTCCTCTGCAAGAACAAGAAGTTCTCTTACCCACTAAGCCATTTCTCCATCCCCACAAACCACAATTTTTTTTTAGTGAAAACCAGTTTATGGAGTCATCCTACCAAGATTTATTGTGTGTGAGTCAGGAAATAAGAAAATTAGCACTTCTGTTTCTCAACCAATAACCTACTTGAAAAGGTGGGACATTAAAATGAATTTTAAGCACTAAAGAGTGAAACAATCCAAAAATATAATTATTCAAGGAAAATTCACTTGCATCATTATGTACATTTGATATGGGACAATTCACATTATTCTCAGTATCCAAGATCTTCATTGCTTTTCATATTAAATGCAAATAAATTTAACTAGTTTTAGAACAAGCACCACTGAGCTGTTTGTGTTATCCACACTTTCCTCAATACTTCCAGAAACACTAGCGTTTCTACTCATTACCTCAATTGAAAACCCCTAGAGATGATGTGTAATAACCTTGATTCTACTTATATACTCCTCCTTGGTGAAGAAAGGGAGTGCAGAAAATGAACACACAGGCATTGCTTAGCCTTAAGCTGCTAATAAAGAGTGTCACTTGGACTGAAACTTGGGGTTCTGACTCTAAGCCCAAAGTACTTTCAGCTGTAACTGGCTGCAAACTTGAAAATGGCTCCAGCTAGTTAATATCCATCTTAATTACGGCATAGAAATTAAAGACATACAGAATGCAATAGGGAAAAGGATATTGGTAAAAGGCAGCTCACCAAGAACTGGCTTATTACACAAACACAGCTAATTTCCTGTCTGAGATTACAGAGCTGGCAAACAGTCTTCCACATACCTTAGAGGTTACTCTAAACACACATTTAGTTCTATGACATTTGATAAAGCACATTAAAATAGATTATTTTATGAAGTCAAGTAAATTCAGACTTGTTAACTGAACAACTGGCATAATATAAAATAATTATATTTATCTTTTCAGATATAATAAATATTAAATTAAATTATGTTGAGCTTTATATGAATGAGGATGCTCAAATAAGAAAAAAATAATAATAGTCATTATCATTAAATTCTTCTTTTATTTCCCAATTTCAGCTTCTGATGATATCTTTAACCACATAGGAAACAAGGTTTTTGTTCTACTTGGTGCTATTTCTGTTATCATTTCCATCTAGAATGCAAGATGCATGACTTCTTAGATTAAATTAGCATCCACAAAGTGCAATTAAATTTACTATGCCTATTTTAATGATAACAATTTTCCAAAAAACAAGATTTCCCAAATAAATGATTATAAAGCAGATAATGTCCCATTATGATCAGTAGAGCTGGTACCTCATGAGAACTATCCACAGAGTTAATATAAGATTACACAGAAGCCCTGTCCTTACAGTCACAAATCCAGTATCAATCATTTCTTAATCAGTACTGAACTGTCTTCATATAAATATCTTGGTTCTTTAAGTAAGAACCAAACTATTAAAGAAAAGATCCTATAGGTTATGACCTTTTAAAATGGGTAGTACAGAAAAGACATCATCATATCATAACTGTAACTGGTTAAAGCTGCTAATACACTGTTGGAAATTGAGGAGTATGTTTTCTCTGTATTCATTACAGGTTTTCTGTATATACTGGAAAAATGAACAATTTCTTATCCATTGGAGCAAATAGATTGACTATTACATTTTTATCAGTTATAACAAAATAAATCTAACATAAAGATGCAAATGTAATATATGAAATCAAAAAAATTCTACAAGAATATTTGGTAATCACTCAGTAACCTAGAATAAGAATGCTTTGTGAAAATATTTAAAAATAAATGAATGAAAACCATTAATTTGACAAAATAAAAATTTAAACATTTATGTTAAACATTATCATAAACTACTGTTATATGGGGGTTAAGTATTCAAACTCATGCACTCTTGACAAGCACTTTACCCACTAAGTCTTTTCTGCAGTCCCTGGAGCTTTCCTTTTATAAAATATCTATGTTATTTGTTTATTTCTTATGAATTTAGCTAAAATTATCACTACTGGCAGATAGGGTTTCTATGTGTAGTCAGCCATTTAGCTGTCCTGGAACATGCCTCCATACCACCCCATAAAGAAATAAGTATGGATTCTAAATAATCTATAATATGTTGAGGAATCTCAACTCACTTGTAAATAAAGAGAAATACATAGTACTATGTATTTCTCTTTATTTACAAGTGAGTTGATATACAGGGGTAGGTGGAGGGCTTGATCCTGCACCAAATGATGTGATAGACTTTCATGACTCCCCGTGGGAGGCCACACCCTCTCTGAGGAGTGGGTGGGGGTGGGGAGATAGTGAGAGGACAGGAGGGAAAGGGAACTGGGACTGGTATGTAAAATAAGATAATTTTTAAAATAAAAATGGAAAAAAAGAAATACTATGAAACAGTAATGCCAAATATTTTCATCTGTTGTACTAGTATCACAGTATGGGATGATGGTAAGTCTTACAAGTACAGTAAAGTCACTATAGACCAAGGCACACGGCTGAGAAATGAGGAAGGCCTTTAGCCCTGGGAAAAGGGACAGAAGGCAAGAGCTCACAAACAAGAAAAGCTGTAACAGTGGCTCACTGACTAAACAGTTGACAAAATGTAGTCAATAGACAGTTGCAAACTCGTAAATACAAAAGGTCGACAGCATGTCCAAATTAATGTAAACTTGTTTCTTAGTAACTTTCCAGAGTTGATCCAAGAATGAATAACCTCCATAGTTGTAGAATATTAAAATGGAGCCAGAAGTCACAATGTAAAATCTTCTAAGTACAGAAGGTTTAATTAGTTTTACTGAAATTTCTACTGTACATTTAAAATAAAGGTCTTTTCTAAAAAAATATATAAATATACTATTCAGTTAATAACTATTCAGTTAAAATTCAAAATTTTAAAAGGACAACAATTTTAAGAAGCTCAAGAGTAATCTTAAAATATAGAAATGACCTTCCTGGTAGAAATAAGGCATATGATAAAAATTATAGTGATATTCAGCACTGTACAAACCAAATCACAAGGAACAAATTAGTTTTACCCGAGATATTGAAAAGATTGTTTATTTAGAAAATCTACAATGACATTTACCACACTGAAATATTAATAGGAAAAATCATCTCAGAACCAGAAGACACAATATTCATGATGAAATTAAAATTTAACACTTAAACATGATTTACAAATTGCCACTAATATACTATTAAAATTTAGACATTCATTATGAAACAAACTTAATAAATTCTATCTACCAAAACCAAAAAATATTCCTTGTGTTACAACGTCACATACATTCCCTTTTTACATAAACATGGTAAGAATGTTTGTTCATATATACAACAACCTTCTGGAGATTCTAAGCAATATGCAATCATAAGTAAAACAAAAAAATCCAGTTATAGATGAGAAAAATCACACTATTTACTAGGGAAGTTCCACCAAACTACAAACCATATGAAAAAATAATTTAAAAAGGTAACTATTTCAGATTAATTCTTCTTAAGCAAATGTGTTTTATATGACAATCTCAGAAAACACTTTTACTCATGCAGTACTCATACAGATGTGAAAAACTATGACATCTATTTTCCAGAAATAAGCAAGCACATAACAATTTAGACTGGGATCTCAGTACTGAGGGGTCTAAGGAAGGATGGTTTCATGTGTAAGAGTACGCAGAGCTACACCATACTGAGACCCTGCCTTAAAAATGAACAAAAATCAAATATAATTTAGATATTATAGCTATGGAAAAAAATTAAAGGAAATTGGGTTAACTGGAGATAATGACATGAGACATTAAGATATGCAAATGAACAACCCAAACAGAGAAAGCCTTAAATGCAAATGTCACAAGACAGGAGTATGTCTATAGTATTCTAGAAACTCATGGAATGCTAGTCTGTGGATGCAAAATGTAGCAGGAGAAAATGAAAGAGAGGTAAACGGGTGGAAATGCAGAGAGCCTTAGAAGTCATGATGAATATAGGGGGCCACTGAAAAAATTTCAGCAAAGAAATGTTATGGGTTGACACCTTTAAAATGATGACTCTAGCTACTGTGTTTACAGGAAAATAATGACAAAAGCAGAGACCAATTATATTTCTATAATAATCTTATACGTGTACACACAAGCAAGAGCTACAGTGAGAACTGGAGAAGGAGAGGAGGTAGGAAGGGAAACAGTACTGGTGTTATAAAGAGAAAGATGATTTTCAAGAACATAACAAAATAATTTCTTATCAAAAGTGAGAGAAGACAGGCAGACACCTCAGGATCGGGATAAGTGCAGAAGTGTTTTGGCTAAAGAGAGGGAAGGGTTGCATTTCTATTAAGAAATGTGGAAAGTAAATGAAGGCACCTGCAGCAGGAAATCAGTATCTGGTCAGAGGTTGAACGGGCGACTGGGTACTTAAAATCAGAGCTCAGAGAAGAGTTGGTCCTGGATAATGTAAATTACACTCACAAATGTGTCAGTAGAACTCAAAGGCCTGTCACACATAGAGAGTGACCAAAGACATATAAAAACTGAATGCTGATCTATATGCAGGGTTTAGGAGTGTGGTGCAAAGAGTAAATGAAATTATAGGTCAGTTATGAACAGCAACAAGGCCTAAGAAATGGCTGTGATAATGAGTAGCTGAGAATGATAATGTGTGGTCAAATGTCAAGAAGTTCAAAATCCAAAATGTTGGAAGCATTATCCATGAAAACATTGAAATCATGAAGATTCAGGCAAGAATCATAAAGAAAATGGCAATGTCTCAGGGATTTATTGCTTTCCATTTATAAAAAAATCACTAGGGAAGATGTGCCTGTAATAAACAATTTTTATGAGTGGGACAATCTGATCAAAATGAGATGCAAGGAAAGGAATATTCAAGAAACATGGAAGGACCAGGGCTGGAAGTAGCAAAAGGCAGATAAAGTCCAGTGCACTGACTTGAGTATAGAGAAAATAAACACCCCTAATGGTGCTATCAAGTGATGGTGTGCTGGAGCTGTGTGCTGGAGTTGGCCCGGGACTGCCTGTGAGTACCAGTCCCCAACTCACATTCAGTTACTTTAGATTAAAACTTCAGCTGCTGAACTGTGCGTCTAACGCCATCACCCAATGCCTCTCTTTAAAGAACTGACTGCTAGACAGTGGCCAGGACTCCACTGGCAGCACAGTTATTACTGGAGCAGCCAGACTACCCATGGCACAGGACAGAGGGAACACTACAGTAGAACATGAAAACTCAACTTGAGTCCTTTAAGTACAAACAGTTTGACAAGTTAGGGAAAAAGAAGTTGGTCAGGAAGGATGATGTGATGAGATTAAAGTTCTGAAAATCAATGATGAGCTCCTTAGGCTCCTTCAGAAGTCCCAAAAGAACAAGGAAGAAGGTACAGGTGTTGATAAAAGACAGGACAGAGGGAGGAAACCAAAGAAGATGTATTGCTCAGAATCTTCTGTTTGGCTCTGGCTGATAGAGACAAGATGACCTGTGTGGCTTTATTCTGGGTGTCCCTGTACTCTGCCTTCTTTTGCTAATGGAGCCCTGCTGAGGCGTGGTCTTATTCCAACTTTGAGAGTTCCCTCTCCACTCCTGATGATGGGGGCATGGAGTTGGGCAGAACGATGATCTTGTACTGACCGTATTAGCACCCTCTTGAATTCTGTTGAAGAAGGCCTTAAAGCCAAGAAAGAAACAAGTCATTAATTTTTAAAAGATCACTTACAACAACAAAAGTATAAAATCAGAGACATACTGTCTATAAAAGTCATGAGAAAAGAAACACTTTAAGGAATTTGGAAAACATTTTCAAATTATACATAGAAAAATAAATGTATAAGACTAGATAAAAACTACTAAAGAAGAAAAATAGGTTGAAAGGTTTTGAGATACATCTAAACATTAAATATAGAAAATTTATGTTATATAATATCAACATATTATAATATACCATATTATAATATACAAATATACTCTGTATAATATACATACTGTAAAAAATACATAATTTACCATTGCCATAGAAGTAAAAAGAAAAAATCACAAATGCAAAGTTCAGAAAGTAAAATGTATACATGTGGTAGTATAATTTGGGTATAAGGTACCTCCAGAAAATGTTCATATTTGAAGTCTTGGTGACTGCCTATTAGATTCAATCCTTGCAACCTGATTGGATCTGAAGAATCTGATCTACAGCCTATCTACTGATAAATCATAAGATAGTGATGATTTCAGGAATAACAGGAAATCTCTTTAGTAATGAGTATATGAGCACCTTCAATCCCCTGCCAGAACTTCAACACAAGATAGTTAGAAAACACATAAAATCTTTCTACCTCGTCTTTCACATTGATCCTTGAGCCTTTGGGGGAGGGGTTTATTCAAGGACTGAGTGATCCTAAGCCTCTCAACCATGTCACAGTTTCCAGCTGTGGGTCTTTATGTTAATTATCATCTATTTCAAGAAGAAGCTTCTCTGAAGAGGAATGAGTGAAGCACTGATCTGGGGGCACATTTGTATGCCATTAGGATTCATTTTTATTGCTATGCTCCTTTAGTAGAATAATAGTAGCAGATTTTTCCCATGTGCAAGAACTATGTAGTCTCAGATTCTGGACCACTTTAGCGATGTCAGATATAGGTTTCACCACACAGAGTAGTCCTTAAATCCAATCAGAAAGTGTTGGCTACCTCCATTACATTCATGCTGCTACTGCACCAGGTTATCTTGTAGGAGTTCACTGTTGTAGATTCCAGTTTGTAGCTGGGTAACATTGAGGATTACCTTCTCTTATAGCTGGCAGAGTCCCTTCTAGCACCATGAAAGTTAGTAGGAGTTCAACTTGTAGTTGGGCAATGGTTTTGCCTAGACTGTAAGAGCCAGGGGTTATGGATGACTTCGAGGAAACAATGTCTCCCAGACAAAAGACTAATGTACATAAGAATTCATAAAGAAGACTGTGGCAACGGGAGAAGATCTGCCCAGATTTAAATAAAAAAAGGGTCATAGAACTAAAAGGAGGAAGTGGACACAGGGTCCCACTTCTAAACAAGAAGCTATCTGCAATTGATAGTTGCTGGCAAAGATAAAATCAGTTTTTAACAATGGAGTGTCACTGGATATATCATGCATACTCCAGGGCAGGTCCATGCTCAAGAGAATTTGGCCTGGCCAACACAAAAGAACTCCATGGTTTTTCTGTGAACTTTTTATTTCATTATTTCATTATGTTTTAACATTTGTGTCTTCTTTTTTCTTTTACTTTTTTTTTGATTTTCAGTTTTTCTGAAGATTTTTTTGAAAGACTGAGAGAGAGAGAAAGAGCATAAATTTGGGTGTGTAGGGAGATGAAGATAATCTTGAGTTGGGAGATGGAAAGATCAACAAATGGAAAAAAAATTAAAAAGGGAGAAAATCTCTACAGATTTAAGCAGGACACTGTTAAAATAATCTGTGGGACAAAAAAAGGAAATTGTAAAGAAAATATATAGAATTGATAGGAAATACTGCACACTGAAACATAAGATTTAGTTAAACAAAGATAAAAGCAGAAAATAGTGACAATACAAACAGGAAAACAATACTAAAGTTTAATGAATCAAAATACTAGTACTTTAAAATGAATCGCTGAAGTTGATAAACACCTATGTAATAAGATGAAAAAAAGAGAGAAGACTAAAATCACAAGAATGGAGAAAAGGAAATTACAGCATACCCTACTATCATTAAAAGAATAGTAAGATGACATTAATGGCTTTATGACTGTAAGATAAACAACTAAGATGACAAACAGCCAAAACTCATCTAAAGACAAATCATCCTCATAAAACCATAAGATTATTAAAGAAATTGTATTAGTAAGTCCAGTGCTCCCCATAAAGAAATCTTAAGGTCCAAGTGATTGTATTGGTTAATTTACTTAATCTTTAAAAAGCAAATTGATAACTACTCGGCAATAAAAATAAACAGGTTAATGAGCCATACAACAGCTTGGATGAATCTCAGAGGAATTATATTTCAAAGATCAACAATTTCAGAGTAAAATTGGCAAAAATTTGCAAAATGTTATTTCACTGTTGCTAAAGTATAAATTGTCTATAGCAAAAAGAAAAAAAAGTACATGTTCCATTTAATAACAAGAGAAATGAGAATTGATGCAGAATGAAGTAATACATTTTACACATTAGTCTGGCAAAAATAAAGAATCCTGGTAATACCAAGTGTTGGAAGAGTTGTACAGGAGGAAGAATTATACATGTAAGTTTGCAAATATGTTCGACAGGTTTGGAAGAATTGTGCTAATTAAATCCTTATCCTTATTCCACACCTAGGTTAATTTCCCATAAAAGCTCTTCTATGAATGTGCAGTGATAGGTACCAATTATGGTAGTCTTAGTCATTAGATTAAGAACATGGAGACAGCCTGAATATTATGAATAAAAAAAAACAGAAAAGAAAATGGGAACTGAATTATAGCCACATACATCGTGGAGTAGTCTCAGAAACAAAACAGTAAAAGAAAAGACAAATTACAACAGACTACATTTACAATAACCTTTATTTTATGTTTATGTTAAATTAAAAGGCATAATATAAATGATGAGTGACATTTGTTTTAGTACATTTAATGCATAAATCCATAACTTTCATAAATTATGTACTTTGAAGTAAATACTATACTTCTTGTTATTGAAGCTTCTTGTTTCTTTTTTATTTTTTTTAATTTTTTTATTACTTTTTTGAGATGATTTCACTGTGTAGACCACAGTGACTATGAACTTTCTTGATGCTCCTGTCTCAGCCTAGATTGCTGAGAAAATAGCGTTGCACAACCATGTCTAGTGGCAGGTGTGGTGGTATTGGCTGTTATTTCCATAGTGACATAGGTCCTGAGCATCTTTCCACTGCAATTTCATGTGGGAGCATTTTTCATGATCAATAGTCACACATTTATAATTCAAAGTAAATAGTTAAGCATAATCCTGAGAATGACCAGAATTTCTTAATTACTTATATTACAATTCATATTTAGTCTCAGTAGATAAACATAATATATTTAGCATAATATAATTTGTGTTTATTTAATTTTATACCCAAAAAAGAATTATAAGCAAGTTGACTTAATCCTTATCAATTTGCTATAGCACAATATTATGAATAAATATTGTGTTAATTTATTTCCTTGGGGATTTATAAATGAATTATTCCAACTGTGGAAGACATTTGGCACCATTTGCTAATTATTGATATGAAAATTCTCACTTGGACCTCATCACAGACTTTGTAATGATTTCCATATTTTCAAACTCTGAAACAATGAAAAATAAATTTCTTCCTAACTTTACATACTCAAAATATGGTGATCGCACGTTGTAATACAATATATACAATTACTGGAATAATGTTAAGCAGATATTTAGTGAATACCATCATAACAAGCTTACTATAGGTAGAATATAACATCCATAATAAAAATTCTATACTGTACTGACATCAACTATACTATAAAGAGTGCAGGGCCCCAGCTCTTAGGTAGATAAAGCTTGTGTGCATTACCATCAAGCTGGAGTGGCATAACACCACAGACAGCATCACATGCGAATTCCCCTATCACTAACTCCATGCCAGCTTTTGTTGCCATCCGTATTCCTGATGATGCTCATTCTGACTGGGGAGAGAGGGAATCTTTTTTAATTTTGTCTGTATTTATTTTATGTGTATTGGGTGTTTTACTTGCATATATGTCTGTGTGCCTAGTGTCCAAGGAAGCCAGAATGGGGGGGTCAGATCCACTGGGACTGAAGTTACAGATGGTCGTGAGCTTCCATTTGGGTGTCTGTAATTGAACATGGATCTTATAGAAGAGCAGACAGTATTTTCAACTGCTGAGCCATCTCCCCAGGCCTGTGAGGCAGAACCTTAAGACTTAATTTACACTGGCTTGTTGAGACAAGTTTGAGGGCAGGAAATAATAGATTGTAATAATCAAAGAGGTATAATGCTTTGGGCAAAAAACTTAAGTAAAAAGGGGGGTGGGAATATGGAGAAAATTAGGAGTGGTTGCAAAGCCAAAAGAAAGTAGATATGAACTACCATATGGAAACCTACAATCTCACAGCCAAACATGACAAATATAATTAATTGAAAGGCTATCAGAATACATGTGAAATGAAAAAAGGAGGAGAGATACTGTGTGTTAAAGCATTGCAGTGACTGGGGTATAGGGAATAAGGAAGAGTAGAGAGTAGGGGGTAGGTTAACCAAAACTAAGGATATATGAATAAAACCTTACATCAACCCACTGGTCAGTAAAATAATTTTGAAATACAACTCTAAAAATATAACTCAAACAGCATGGGTGGACAATGTTCTTCCCAGAAAACATGAAATTTTAAAAAGAAAATTGCAGAGGCGTGGGATATCTCCCTTCCAGTTATTGGTCAAGGATGCTCCAAAAGTTCCAAAACAACACCAGCTACTGAAAATACCATATATTTCAGATGCAAAACATAGAGAAATTAATCTCAAATAGACAGGGGAACTTCCTCCTTGCTGGCTAATTTTCACAGTGCTGAATGTGCTATGCTGACTGTTGAGGAGGAAAGGTAATGGTCTTATCCTGTAGTGAATGCTGCCAAGCAAGACATGCCCACTGGTGCAACAGTGGCATGCTTAT